CACACCTTTATAAAATAGACACGTCAAAACTTTTTGTTGAGTGTTCTCATCTAAAGTGTGTCACAAACCATATTGAAAACCCAGGAAAAACTCAAAGTCTGTGTGGAGGTAAAACTAACCCACCATCCTCTCCATGAAACAGAGCAAAGGCAGCATGATGCTTCTTTCTATAGGGGCAGGGAAATAGATGTAAAGAGAAATGGACCAATAGATGGGGAACTTCTGGTACCCTTTGTTGGCTGCAAAAGATTTCTGACTTCTATGCTCTACTCAGGATTGGTTGATCACATTTAATTCCAACAAAATACTCTTGACATTTGAGGCCTTCTATATGAAGAAGGAAAATGCGACTCCTCCAGTAATGCTAGATGTGTGTTAGGAGGAATGATTTGACAAGTGTGTCCTTTCTACACATTTAGTCAGCTGCTGCCTGTCTCATTGTAAGTACCAACACTTGTTCTTACCCACAGTTCCTAGATCGGTTCCACAGGACTGCTTTGCTGAAGGTGTTCTAACATATCAATACACCCTGCTGCTCTCCTTACTCTCCTCTTGAGGCAAAGATGCTATGAAAGATTTGTCAACTTAACAAGAAATCACCTGCAGGCATATTCATTTATAAACCATTTCCGCTGCGGTGTTAGGATGCATAATTTATAAAGGCAGGTGTTTAAGACAAGACGTGACTGGAGACGTCATTAGATTCAGGCTAAGAATTTTCCAAGAAGTTGATTTACACATTTATTTAATGAGGCATTTTATGCATGTTTTGATATGGAAATCATTTATTAAGGCAATGGTTATTTGTCTTGTTGAAGATAAAAATGAACAAGCTTTATTGCCTTTGAGTTTGAAGTCGGTCTGCATTCTACAACTTTTATGAAGATAAACCACAGAGACATGCATGAAACAGCAGCCAAAACATATTCATGCAAGGTTAGATTTTTTTTAATGAAACTGCTAACTGTTGGAACATTTGGCCTCATTTTTATACCATTTAATAGATTTGAGAGAAAAAAAAATTAAAAGATTGTAGCAATTTGACTCTTGTTGATGACCTGGCTGTTGTATTAATTTTAGAGGACAGTTAGTATCATAAGTACACAGTAAAATACACCAATTCGCCTTTAACAACCACATCAAGACGTGTTAATAGGCCTTTTTTGCTTAAATAGGAGCATAATAAAAAATGTCACAACATTGTAAGTTATTTTGTGTGACGTAAAAAAATTCAAAATATATTTTCTAATATTTTTATTATTTTGCTTATATTATTGTCATTTTGTCCCGTGAAAAACAAAAGACATAAAACATATGAGAAAAACATTACAAAATAATTTAAATATTACACTGAAATTGTGTCGAATTAAAGTAGTTATGTTGACATTTTTTATTATTTTATTTGATATGACATTCTCAACACTTTTAGATGTTTTTTAACCTTTTTAACCAGTTTAATTTCCATGTCAAGGTCCTAGCCGGCTTGAAAGAACTAAACACAAAACATTTGCCCTGATCTCCAACATCTAGCCCTACCATTTTGCCCTGAAAGTCTTATTTTCTCAAATGGATTTTTTCAACATGTCCAGACATATCTTGGATTTCTTTCTAAATGGCTTCTAACATATCTGTGCTTTATCTAAGATTATTTCAATGCTTTCCTAATATTGAAAATCATTAACTTGTCTTGGCCCTTTAGTACCAATGTCCACTGAGCTCAACGTTTTAGGGCTCAGTAACTTTCCTTAATTAATCAAAAATTAAAAAAAGAAAAATTTGTAATTTTCAACAGGCTGATCACTAATGGTGTGGCCCAGGATGAATATGTGTGTATTTTCAATACATCTCTACCTTTTGGTTATTTATTGTTTTCCTGTTTCTCCTCTGACCTTTAACAGCATTGCGTAGTAGGTCAAGCTTGAATCAGAGCTATTGTGAATTCTTTTAAAAAATATAAAAATAAAATACTTTTGATAATTTCAGCCAACTCTTTAGTAGTTTTGCTTTATTGAATGCACAATAAGAAGCACTGTTGACTTGCAGCAAAAAGAAGCCCTGCATCCCGTCCACCATCACCCTCCTACCACACTGCAGTGGGGTATAAACAATGGGTACAATGGATAGCAACAATGTTGCTTTCAGTAGTTTTTTGGGTTTTTTTCCACATTATATATACAAGTAAATCTGTGATGAAGTCTCTTCCTTTTAGAAAAAGTCCGGCTTTCATTTCACTGAATGACCCTTGAAAATACTGCTCAGTTTTATTGGCCCAGCATCGGTTCACTGCAACCCATTATATGTTGGCATAAGCCAGGTGCAGTTGGTTCAGAACACTACAGCCAGAAATCTGAGTGGTGCCCATTAACAGAAACATATTACACCAGTTCTGGCAACATTACAATGGCTTCCTGTCTGGTGCAGTTAACCATGGAAGCCTGCTACTCAAATGCTAAGGGCACCAAGTTCTCTTTCCAACCTGTTGCTTTTTTATATTCTGGGTTGCAGGTTTGTCCAGATTTCTGTCCGAGCTGGTTTTCAACAAAGTCCTCTTCTAAATATCATCTTAGCCTTTGTTTAAATTTTACCTAGGAGATTTGCTGGCTTTCTTTATGTTGGCGTTTTCCTCAGATTCTCATGGCTTGAGTATAAAGTAGGACAAGCAATTTTGGTACAATTTACTGTCTGGAAAAACTAGGTTTTGCCCATATGTTACTGATTGAGAAAAGAGAAAGAGCTCCAATGTGGAGCTGTTCAGATGAGGAGTGACCTTGTACTTGATGCAATTTTGATAGACCTCGGTCAGAGATCACTCAATATGGTGTATTTTGGCTGTTTCCTGCCTGTTTCCCTATGCAGACCTGGAAAACCCCAATATTTCCAGTCTTTGAATTACCGTACTGAAGACATGAAATGTGAAACATATTCCAAAAGAATGAAGACATTGGTATACAAAAAGTGATTGTTTCAAAGTAAAGACAGACTGTCTTTTAGCAATTTCTACATTTTTGAATCTATTATATGATCCTACCAGTTCATTTTTACACAGACCTAGCCCAAGCATAATAATTTACCTTTTGCATCCTAATGACTGATAAAAATTCATAAACTTTCTTGTAAGATCAATCTTCTTTACTTTAGAGCACCCAAAGATTTTGCTGATTGTTTATCTGTTTATTTGTGAGAGAAACTTGCATGCAGATATGGTCACATCATGTTTTTCAACTTAGTTTGTTGGAGTACATCCATTTGTTTTTTTTCTTCCTATCCTTCCTTCTATATTTACCTCTTTAGTCAAATAATTTTAATCAAAAAGTAGTTTAGACTACATGCAGTACCACTGTACTGTCAAATTATGTAACTATTTAGATGATAAAAGAAAAATATGTGTTTACTAAATCCTAACAGGAATGTAAACAGATTTGCTACGGTTTTGGAGGAAATCTTCATCAGGAAACTATGCTTTAGTAAATTCAATTCAATTCAGTTTATTTATATAGCGCCACATGTCACAACACATGTCATCTCAAGGCAAATTTTCAACCAGATTATACAGTCAAATTGATTCAAAGTTTTCTATCTTAGGAAAACCAGTTGATTGCATTGACTCATTGACTCAATTACAATCCCTCACACTAAGCATGCTTGTAGCGACAGTGGAGAGGAAAAACTCCCTTTTAACAGGAANATTCCAAAAGAATGAAGACATTGGTATACAAAAAGTGATTGTTTCAAAGTAAAGACAGACTGTCTTTTAGCAATTTCTACATTTTTGAATCTGTAACAGTTATACGATCCTACCAGTAAATTTTTACACAGACCTAGCCCAAGCATAATAATTTACCTTTTGCATCCTAATGACTGATAAAAATTCATAAACTTTCTTGTAAGATCAATCTTCTTTACTTTAGAGCACCCAAAGATTTTGCTGATTGTTTATCTGTTTATTTGTGAGAGAAACTTGCATGCAAATATGGTCACATCATGTATTTCAACTTAGTTTGTTGGAGTACATCCATTTGTTTTTTTTCTTCCTATCCTTCCTTCTATATTTACCTCTTTAGTCAAATCATTTTAATCAAAAAGTAGTTTAGACTACATGCAGTACCACTGTACTGTCAATTATGTAACTATTTAGATGATACAAGAAAAATATGTTTACTAAATCCTAACAGGAATGTAAACAGATTTGCTACGGTTTTGGAGGAAATCGTCATCAGGAAACTATGCTTTAGTATATCCATCCACATTAGCTTTTCTCTCGGCTTTAAGGGTCAACATTTTTAACATCTGGCTCTAATTGAGAAGGTTTAACCCTCTGCAACTCAAAAGCAAAAAAAAATTGTCAAGACTTGCTTACCTGCCATAACTATTGCAGGCTAGTCAATCTCCTTAATGTGTAAAATAAAAACAAAACAAACTTGGTGCCTTTTGAGCATTTATTTTTGGAAACCTGTTAGTAAAAAGTCACACTTAATTATCATTTGCAATATTTTCAAGAGTGCAGTGGCTTGAGAGAAAAAAAATATATGATATATATGATTTCTTTAAATCAGTATTCAGTTTTCCACCAGTCATTGTAAAGAAAAATGACTTTATGCCCATTTACTGCTTTAGGAATTTGTGTTGGGCTCTCCACACAAGGCAGGTACAAATAATTTTATGTAATAATACAAGTAATTTAGTGAAGTCCTTATATTTAGGAAAAATGGCACAAAAATCACAACAGACTCCTCTTGACTATGCATTCTTTTTTCTGTCTTTTCACTCGTTGATTATCCTCAATAAAGATAATAAAAATTGAACAAGTGTTTCCTGTATTACTCCTTAATTTAGTCAATTTATTATTTTGGACTTACTGCAAAATGTCATTATGGAGTCATATACATATACAATATGTATCATATTATATCATCTGTAACAGGAAAGATGATAAAGTAAAGAGTTATTAACCTTAGCTTTATCAAACAAATCTGATTAACTGTATGTACCTCTTTATGCAGGTGGATCTAATGAAGAATATCAGCAAGATCCCTCAACCATTTCTCTATACAAGACATGTTCACTTCCTAAACTTTACCAGGTACAGTGGAGCATCACCGGGCTAAAAGGCTATAAAGAATTGTTTATTAATGTGGCTTGGCTTATAGATGCAGACATGGTAAAGTAATTACCTAATTTATTATTTTTTTCAGGTTTAGAATAGAGGAGCCTGTGTACATCAACATAATCCGGGATCCAATAAGCCGCTTCCTTTCCAACTATTTCTTCCGTCGCTTTGGTGATTGGAGAGGAGAGCAGAACCACCTCATTCGAACCCCAGGGATGAAAGATGATGAGCGATACTTGGTGAGTCCCTTTTTTCAGCAGTTAAAGCTTTAAAAAAAATAGTTTTAGCTTAAAGTACAGAATTCATCATGCATATCAAATCATTGGGGGGAAGGTTGATGCACTATTGGACATCTGATTATGCTAAAAAATTGGAAGAGACTTTATGTCTCAGTCGGATAAAAAGTTTAATCCAAAATGTTTTCTTGTTTGGTCAGTCTTGTATGCTTAGGGTTGTCTGAAGATAACAGCTAGCTTTAGCTTTGAAAACAGCCACAGGGGAAGCTTTTTCTCATGAATAATATTGGCAAACATACAAATATTATTTGAAGCATTTCTGTGCTCTGATTACATGTCCTGAGAAGAAAATATCTATATATCACTTCCACTGCTGTAATCTGATGAAGTTTAGAAACCAGTACGGGCTGATAATATGAATGTGCAAATATTTTTGCCCTTTCCAACATGCAATCCAGTTTTCTAACATGTTCTCTTTGATTCATGGTAGGAAGGGAGGCAACTGACATTATTTCCCTACTCTTCAAAAAAACAGATTTAGAAGATTCAGCTTTCCAAGGAGTCTGTGAACTGATATTTAGTTGCATAACTGTTTTCTGAAAACCGTTTCCTGCCATCTTTGTACAACGTTGACCTGGTATTAATTCTAATCCTGTGCCATCAAAGTCCTTTTTGCTATTTAATTCACAACTGCTTGGGTTTCCTCTGGAAATATACAGGCCTACTTGATATTACCACCCAGTTTTTTGGCTTTGACTAAGCCCATTTTAGCTGAACAGCTTCCAATTTCCTGCTTATTCTTTTATATTTAACCCCTTAACAATTAAATTGTTTTTCAATATACACTGTTCTTTAAAATAGTCTGGAAGAGCCCATTTTAATCAAATTTGCAGAAAGCAATACATTGCAACAAATAGGTACAACATTTCTGTCTTTGTGTTTAATGTAAGGGCCATCTGTGAGACATGCTTTTCCACATAATGAATGACGTCACTGATAAAACTCCATACTGCTCCTACTTAGAACTCTTTTTTATTAATGACATAAAAACAGAAAATCAGCAGCAACTTGTTTTATATTTCTCTCCTATACCTATTAGTAATGAATGTACTATCTAGATATATGACTTCTACCAAGACAGTCTAAATAAAAACTGAATCTTGCAGCATTTCCCGCACTCTCTGCCTTTCATCCCATTCTTATTCAACAAGCCCATTAACTTTCTATTGCCATTGGCAAGATCAATTTTACTGATGCTTATCATTCAAAAGTCTAATGCATTCAGAATGTTTGACACAGTGTTGCTACATGTTTATGCAGAGAGTGATTCTCTGTTTATTGGCAGTAATGGTGCTTTGCGATATGGTTCTGTGGTATCATAGTATGAAGCTCCACTAAGACAGGACATGAAATCATTTCTGATTGTAGCGTGGCGTTCAAAAAAACTCTAATTATGCAGCGCTTTGAAAGCATAAGATTTTTGAAGGTGTTCCAGTAGCAGGAAAGATTCATATCTTTCAAATAGGACCTAAAGGTATGTTTTTTTTTTTTTTTTGGGAAGCAACGCTAAAAGACACAGTGAGTCATAGTAGGACAGATGTTCTTAGGCTGAATAAGTATCGTAAATAACTGTAATGCAAAAGTTTATCAATTAACTTTTGCCACTACATCCTGATGTTAACTATATTTTTAATCATAAACACTGCTTTTTTTTCCTATGTGACAACAATTATGATTTTTATTGATAAAAATTATGGTTTTATCTGATTATCATTGTATTTTTATCTTATTATATAGTATGGGATTTAAACAATTTTGAAGTTTTTTTTTTAAATCCAGTAATTAAGCAAGCATGAACCTAATTTCATCTAAAGTCAAGGGTCATTCTGAAAGGCTAACAAGAGAAGCAGCGAACGTCAGCCCGGCTTGAGTCAGACCTGGGGTAATTAAGTGCTCCACTGTTTTCCCTTGAGTGAGACCATGTGAGTTGAGTTATTAAAGTATGCAGACCACAGGGGCCCCTTCCGACAGTTTAAGGGGGAGGAAGAAGCTGTGTTGTTGTGCGAAGTTACCTGTGTTTTCAATTTTCACTGCGAGTTGCGTTTTCCTGCTAAACAAAGATAAAATTCTCCAGCGTCGGTCGGTGTTGCAACTTTCTGGTCCCTTAGCACAAATCTTTTTTTTTACTTTTTTTTTTTCTCTTTCAATGTATCTGCCTCCTAACAAGAGCAACCTCTTGTGATTAGGCAGATACGATTAAGCAGAACAAACTGCTTTTTTAAATTCCGTTTAACTCAGCTTTTTAAGAAAGTGTCACAACACATATCATGTCTACGCACTTTACTAAAGAAGTCAGTTAAATCTACTCATTCAGATAAATTTCAATTGAAGTATTTACCTTCTTGTTAAAAAACATTGCAGTCAAGATCAGTTTTCACTTAAACTGGTTAAAAAGCCAACCTAAAGAAGCCAAGCAGATTGCATTGAATCTGTTTTTTTAGCATTCAGTACTAGACAAGCATATACAGTAGCAACAGTGAACAATTCCTTGAATTTTGTCCTCAACTGTGCAGCAAACAATTCATCTTGCTTGCAAGGTAAAGATTCCTCTTCTATAATGACCATAGTTGCATGAAATAGGATGATACTAGTCTTAAAATTGAGCGTAATCTCCTGGTTTGTAACATAAGACAAACGGGAGTTTGATGCCCTCTGATTTGTATGAGAAAAATTAAGGGGTGATACAGTATATAAAAGAATTATAGATTTTATTTGGCCGTGGATTAATCAGTAAACATGGGTGACAGATGGTTGCTACTCTTTCATTTTACCCATTTTTTTTAATCAATGTTAATATTTTAATGATTGGTAGGAATGCATGCTAATGTGCTACAGCAAGTTTGTGGCAGAATATATTAATATGGTTCTGAATGGTCTGATTGTCATCCATGTTTTGAGAACGGAAAAAAGGTGTTCATCTGCAAATATACCAAGATCTAATATGAGCCACCAATCTCTTTCTAAAACAAGATATTTTGAGTCAGTCGTCTCTTAAAGAACAACTTACCCCAAAATTGACTTTTTTTTGTTTTGGGTAGTAAACTGTACACAAGGATGTCTTATAGGGCTGTCTGAATGTCATTCATTTGACAATTTACTGCACATTTGTTGAGATCATGCTTTGTGAATAATTATTGGCTCAAAATATATTGTGATGTCACAGAGAAACTCTGGCATCAGAAGCTGCTGTAGAATATAAAAACAACTATGTCTGGTACACCCCTCTAATGGGATAATCTTTCTTTCAATTTTCAGGTTAATGATTTATTAGCTTATAGGGTTGTCACGTTGAACTTTTCAACTCGATATCGATACTAAGGAAAATATTCGATACTCGATACCATTTTCGATACCACAAGGATAAAAACAAAGACTCCAAAATTCTACA